ATTTCATTTCCGTCACAATGCGATACCACATAGGCTGTTCACGATATTTTAATCAGCGCTCATGTCAAACAATCTCAAACCTAGAATTTGAGCCGTTAAATTTGGCCGACTTGAAAGCAAGAAGGAAACGGTTAGTAAAATGATATCCCCTAACTCTTCGTACACACGTATTACTAAAGTTTGCCAGTTCGTTGGTATAGTCAGTGCGGAAAAAATTGTATTATAATGATATTATGGTTTTTCCTGTCATGCAACTTGCCGGGATCAGCGTGAACTTAGCCTTAGCCAAAGCGGCTTTTGTTTTGTATTTTCCGTGCAGTGTTGAATAACAATGTTTAGGTAATTGTCTCCCTTATTCAAACAAACGTTTCAGTTTGTTGTTGATGAATGCTATATATAGAACCTTTTAATGAAAGATGACTCCTTTAGTCTGTAACTGAGTGCTCTACCTTCAAAGCGAACTCTCTTTTGTCTCGTAAGCCATTACACATCTTGTGAGGCTATATGGCGTTATGAAAAAAAAAACCCACACAATTATCTGTTAATTTGAACCGTGAAGCCATGACTGAAGATTAAAGTAAATAAACCAGGAAAGGATTTTTTGCTTTATTGCGAGTTGTCAACCTTGAGCTAATATTTTATCCATGTACTCCATATTAAGAGTGATCTCTCCCTCTCTCTTACTTACTACCCGCAGCCTCCTCTCTCCCTCGCGCAACGTTTTAAAAAAAGTTATGTCATTTATCCCGACTTCCCGCGAAGGAGTAACTCTCAGCACTATACGTCCTACTTGATTTCATTGGCTTTTTAATGAAAAAAAAAAAAGAAAACCCAGTTCTTACTGTGCTGCAGCAGACTAACACGCGGCACAAAAACGTAACTGACCGACTGCAGCTACATCGAAACGAAACGTTCACCGGCTGCTGTCAACGTACTACAATAAAGGTCAAACGTAGGCCAAATCAAAGTGACCCTGTATGACATTCGTACCGCCATACCAGAAATGGTGTAAACGAGATCTCAAATTTCAAGTTGTTAAAAAGAAACCAGGAACATATTATCCTGATTTAGGAAAAGAGGTAGAATTCAGATGAGCTTTTATTCTTTTTCAATTTACTCGAAACAGTGGTAAATGATTTATGCCACTGCCGTCTCAGGCTATCGAGAATACTAACGTCTATGAGCGAGCGAAAGGCATTTGATATTTCATGGGGAAAAAATGATCTGCCTAGACTAATGAAATTCCGTTTGACCCCAAATTTCCAGTACGAATTGTCTCGTGTGACCGTGGCAGTTCCATCAAAAGTGAAAGGTCGAAATTTCAGGGGTTTAGAATTTGATGAGATGTAAGTGGAGACCGCTGTGCCATTCTTTTTTGTTTTTAAAAATCCAAAAATTAAGTATCCAATCTTCACATTGAAGATGAGTCTGCCACAAATGTTGGCTCGAGAGTTTGCCATTAGGGATTAAACAGACCCACAACACTGATTATATTGATGGCTTCATTCAAGAAATCCGTATCCCACATTTACAAAAAAACATCGGCTTTTTCGGTAATATTATTATGATTCAGCTCTTGCCTCTCTGGCATGGCAGGTCTAAACCTTACATAAATGCAGCCGCAGTCATGAGAGCTAGTAAGATAAGAGATAAGACAAGACAGTACTTTATTATCCCAGAGGGAAATTTTTCTAGGCTGTACAGGACCGTAAAAACACATGTAGGTATACATTAAAAAATTTTTAATCATATATATTACTCTCATTAAAAGTCAATTTGAAAGGAGAAGTAAAGCTGACAAAATGTACATATCAAATGCATCATTCAACCACATGCAGGGATTTAAATACTAGACCTTTGGAGTTATATACAGATACATACTCTAAGAGCAACACACATCTATGCTCATTCTGACAAAAGCCTTATGCTAGATGGTAAAAAACTTCTTTTATATCTTTCTTTCTTTGTTTTTGATGGTACATATCTGCCGCTGCGCGATCTTACAATTAGTGTGGAAAAGGGGTGTGATGGGTCGTTTATAATGCTTTTTATCTTTTTTATACGTGTGGTGTTATACATTTCATCCATTCTTATAAAATCATATCCAGAGATCTTGCTGGCTTTCTTAATGGTTCTGTCAAATTTTTCTTTATCTTTCACCTTACAATTCCCACCCCAGCAGCAAATACAAAATAATAGCACACTTTCAATCGTAGAATGGTAAAAAAAGGGACATAATCTTATTGTCAACACGGAAACTTTTTAATTTCCTTATAAGAAACATTCTTTGATTTACTTTTTATGTACAAGAGCAGCGCGGGCATGCCAGTCAAGTTTGTGGTCGATTGTTACACCAAGATACTTGTAAGAGCTTACCACCTCCACCTCTTCATCTTTAATAAATAGTGGTTGCAATTGGTCTTTTTTTACTCTAAAGTCTATTATTAATTCCTTTGTCTTTTTTACGTTTAGTATAAGGAAGTGGTTATCACACCAATTGGTAAATAGATTCACAGCGTCCCTGTATTCATTCTCATTTGTTGTTATAAGGCCTTGTAAAGTGAAATCATCAGCAAATTTTATTAGTTTGATGTTTTTGCTATCAAAAGTGCAGTCGTTGGTGTAGAGCGTAAACAAGACAGGGGAGATTACACACCCAGCCTTGGGGCGCACCGGTGTTCGTGAATATTAGGTCGGATTTTACACCATTAAATTTTACATATTGAGGTCGATTGGTTAAGAACTCAAGAATCCAAGCTATAATGTTCTTGTTTATGTTCATGTTAATTAATTTTGAAACCACTATGTGCGGTTGGATTGTGTTGAATGCGGATGAAAAATCTGCAAAAGTATCCTGCAGTAATTTCTTGGTGTGTCTATGTGTTTGTAGATGTTATCTAAGAACACGAGAATGGCATCCTCCACGCCCCTCTTGGCACGATAGGCAAATTGCATGTTGTCCTGTATGTCTTCTGTTGATTTTCTCAGTTCTTTCAAAACCAGTTTTTCTAAACATTTCATGAGGACTGATGTTAAAGCGATAGGTCTTAGGTCGTTCAAATTTTGTATTGATTGTTTCTTTGGGACAGGAATTATTTCAGAGCATTTCCACGAGAGTGGTATTATTCGTTCTTTCAAAGACATATTGAAAATATCAGTATAAATGGGAGATAACTGAGTAGAACACATTTTAATAATTTTACTTTTTACTCCATCGGGTCCACTCGCTTTGTGAACTTTCAGACGATTAACATGATCTTGACCTCTTTAACATTGACCACCAAAATTCCCTTGCTCTTGTCATTGTCTTCGTCTGTGTTGTTGTTGTTGTTGTTGTTGTTGTTGTTGTTGTTGTTGTTGTTGTTGTTGTTGTTGTTGTTGCTATCGTTTGTGCGGTCATTTTGAATCGTCTCTTTGACAGTTGTCAGCTGGTCGGAGAAATCGTGGTTGTCAAAACGAGCGTAAAAAGAATTAAGTTTGTCTACATACTGACTTGGGTTCGTGTCTTGTGTAGGAATGTTTGTCCGTTTTGGTGCGTCTCCAACTATAGTTTTTAAACATTGCCACGTCATTTTTGTGTTGTTAGTAGTGAAATGTTGTTCTAACTTTTCTTTGTAAACATGCTTACACTCTCTTATCTTTTTCTTTAACATATTATTTGTTGTTTTTAATTTGTCTCGGTCTTTCAGTTTAAATGCCTTCTTCTTCTCATTTAATATTTCCTTTAACTCCTTGCTAACCCATGGCTTGTTATTTGGGTAGTAGATAATTTCTTTTTTAGATGAATGTAGGTCTTCACAAAACCTGATGTAACCAGCGATAGTCTCACATAATTCATCTATACTATTACATGAATCTTTTTTTTTTTTTGTAAAGTGTTTTACGGCGCTCGCAACTGCATAGGTCATATGAGCGCGCGGGACACTCCTAATATTTTCAGTTGGTAGGAAATTTGGAATTTTGCCCGGGTGGCGGCCGAAGCCTACTCTTATCGATTTTAGACCACCAAGGGATCTTTAACGTGCGCAACTTGCACACGGGCCCTCCGAGACTTTTCGCCCTTGTCCGAGAAAGCTAGGTGTAGATCTTTCCTACCAGAAGATCAGGGGTGTGGCAGCAAGAGAGCAGTAAGGAGGAGCCAAGGAGTAGCAGTAGAAAGTAGAAAGGCTGCAGAAAGAGTCAGGAGCCCAGAGGAAGGGGCAAAGTAGGTGAGGGGGTGGGGGCAGAAAGTGGAAATGAAAGCAGACAACAGAACATTGCTAGAGAGCAGGAAAGGAGGTGAAAGGAGACAATTTTAGAGAAAAAATTTTTTCGGTCGTTACCCGGATTCGAACCCGGGACCTTTGAATGAGAGGCCAACACCTTAACCTCTTGGCCACGAGAGCCCCCGCATGAATCTTTAAAAACATTCCAATTCGTACACTCAAAGCAACCTCTCAGACTCTCCCTGTTTTCTTCACTCCAGATGGTGACAACTTTTTAAATTGGCTTTGAAGATTTTAATTTAAGTTTGTACTTCGGTAATAAAAGAGACATGCAATGATAAGAGTTTCCTATTGGAGGTAGAGATATACATTTGTAAGCATTAGAAACATTTACATAACAATGGTCAATAGTTTTGTCCTCACGGGTTGGTACATTAACATATTGGTGGAAAGTGGGGAGGGCAGAAGTTAAAGAGCATTTGTTTAAATCCCCACTGATTACTATTACACCGTCAGGACAAGAAGACTGTTGTTCGTGAATCATTTCGACCAAAGTGTCAGTGGCAACTTTAACATTGGCTTGTGGTGGAATATAAACAATGTTAGTTGTTATCTTAGGAAATTACCTCGGTAGATAATACGGGCGAGTAACAACAGTTAGACATTCAACGTCAGGTGTACACAGTTGGAGTTTAACATGAATATTATTACGACTACACCACTTCTCGTTCACATACACACACACACTCCTCCGCCTCGTTCGTTGTTAGAGTCAATCGTCCTGTCACAACGCACCAGATGGAATCTGTCAATGTCCACACTGTTAGTAGAAATACTGTCCTTGAACCACGTCTCGCTAAAATAAATAAGCGAGGCCTCTCTGTACTCGTGCAGAAACCTAACATTTGCACAGAGTTCATTCATTTTATTATTTAGTGACCTTGCATTACCAGTTACGATAGAAGGTAAAAACGGTTTAAAAATTCTTCTTCTCGCTCTCAAACGTACTCCTCCCTTCCTTCCCCGTTTACGTGGTCTCATTTCACGGGGTAGAACGACTTTGAAAACACTGTTTCTGTTTGCCGGTCTAAGGCGTTTTAACATGGCTGAACTGTAGGTCTGTCTCAATGGTGGAGCTTCACTCAAAACACTGCACTGGTGAATTTCCACTAACACACTCAAAAACACTAGAAATATGGCACAACTGAAAGACTTAAGATCCATATTAATAAATAAGTTATCATAAGACCGTGTAAAAATTGAGTAAGCGTAAAAATTTGTCCAAAATACGGAGATCTGTAAAAGCCTCGTCGCCATTGAGCAGCGCCGGAAATAAACAACCTGTTTGTTTGCTTTCAGAAGAGGGGGCAAAAGTGATATTTAATATTGGTTATCTGTGAAACCAAAATTAAAAAAGAAGAAAAACATTTAGAAAAAAGAAAGTGATCCGGTGGCTTGTTATAGTTTCTTGATCCAGCTCGTTGACTCGTGTTATTTTTGGTTCAAGTCGATGATATAATTAACATGACATTCATGATCCGGTTAGTCCATATACTAGTTAACCAAACCAGCCCCAGATGAGCTTGGCACTGCCTCCCATCAGCTTTTTGGCGAAATAACAGCTGTGAGGCACGCACACGGTGCGTTTATACCAACGACTTGACCACAACAAGAGCTCTGACACACTGCGGGTTCCCAAAGACAGAACTAAACCTCCACTGCTACCTGGACATGTTGCAGTCGTGTAAGTCACAGACTCCGAGTTTCCTCCCTCCCTATTGAAGTAGCCGATGGTGATGTATTTCATTCGGCCATGTGGATGTGAGATGACGAAAACCGGGAGCCAAGAAGTGAATTCATCAAGAAATGAATACGACAGGGCCATTTCATCCCACAGTCCCCACTTATCTCTTAGCTTCTTTCTCAGGTCCTCGTCAGTTTCTCGCCGCTGCTCGCATAGATCCCTTAACTTCTGCCCCAAATCGTCGTCGTGGGTGAAACGTACCAGTACACAGTGGTCTCTCTCGGTGTTTGCTTCATGAACTTCACTTCCTTTCAGCGTCTGCACCCCGCTGCCATCTGGGCCATCATCGAAGAAGTCGATCTTACACGCGCGGGCTTCTTTATCATCGTATACCACGTGACGAGCAGTGAGTAACATAATCAGCCAACACTTGTCTTTCTTATTTGTACTCAATTTTCCACATTCGATACAGGAACACGGACCTTCCAAAGGGCCAGTCACGCTATGCACCCAGGAGCTGCCGACACAGTTCACGATACGACCTCGCATGTTGCCAAACGGGTAAGGCTTCTCATCATCGTCGCCCCAAAATTCAGGTCGCAGATCACTGATAACATTCACCTTGATCCTCACCACTAAAGCAGCCCAGCTCTTCACCCAGCTAACAATGTCCTTTTTCGGTAGATCTAGGTGAGGCGGCAACGTGTTGAGATTGTCCACTCCAAAGTCGTCGACGGACAGGAAATGTTCATGGTCTCGGTGTTTTCGGCATCCGTCAAAAGAGCTCAAGGGCCCGCCCATTTTAGTCGCTCTCTCCGCTACCTCGTGCGTTCCTTTAAAAAATGGTGCAACGGATTGTTATCTTTTTGACTGATTAAGGAAAACGGAAGTGTAAGCGTAAGACTCTGTCTGCGAGTGTTTGAGAGTATATGGGAGGGGGGA